ACGACGACGACGAGAGAGAGAGAGAGAGAGAGAAGAGAGAGAGAGAGAGACTGACTCTCCCCATTTCCCACACAAACTCACACACACGCTTCCTCCCCAATGAAAATTTTGTCAAAAGCAATATGTTTAAACAAAACAGCATATTTTGGTGAAATTTCGCTTAGTCAAAAATGTTCCAACCAGCTCCAGTTTCTAAAGCATGCAGAGGAGGCAGTGTGCACTCTAGGGAAATGGAGCTTTGATGTTTGGAAGAAGAGGTGTATGAGACATGCCTTTGATTAGCAACTCTCAAGATATGGCTCAATGTGAACGCCGCATCTCCTCAGGTGCACTGCCATCACAACTAGGTATTTAGTGAAGACTTCTGGTAGTGTGGAGAGAACAAGTTGTAGCACTTTGTAGTGATATGATTGGGCCCTACGAGGAATTGCAGGTTCTTCCTATGGGCCAAGTGGATCACAGTATGGAAGTATACATCTTGGCGGTTGTGACGCTTCTCAGGGTTATGGCCAGGGTTGTGCAGCACCTCGTCACCACCCGTCCTTAGCTCACCCCAGTCTCTCCTCCAGCATTAAACAGCCAGACCAGCTCTGCGCCTCTATTTATATAACAAGCCTGCTGACAGCTTGCCTTTAGGTGAAGTAGACCTGGGGGTACCTCTGTAGCCCCAGACATAATTCCAACAATCCGTTGTCTTCACTTGGAAACAGGGTACCTTCTGCTGCTTGTCGTTCCCGTAGTGAATCTCCCCGGAGACTTTGCAATCTCTTGCTCAGTCTGTAAATAGGCATTCATTGCAAAGTATATAATATTCAGTTTACATATAGCCACGTCAAGTTTCTTTCAGGTGGGAGATGCTTATCACCACCTTTTGGTGACCAGTCCCAACTCACAGACCTTAAGAGCATAATTTTCAGGAAAGAAGGATGGAGTGAGAGAGAACCTTACATATTATCTGTACATACATTTCATAAGGATTATGATCATCAGTGTGACACAAACCTTTGGTAGAGACCTTACATAACCCCCTTTAGCAAATTATTATATAGGGAGAAGACCCAAGGGATCGCTGTGCCCACTGCCAGTTGACATCAAGAAGTCCCTGGGTGACAGAGGTCAAGAGCTACAAACCAGTCTTGTGCCTGAAAAGAAGGGCTAAATTTAAGACTGTGTATAAATTTGTTCAGTCTTCTCAGGTCTAGAATAGCTAACAAAGTATCAGGAGCAGGGGTCTCTTTCCCTGAACTTTAGAGGTAACTCCTCTGTGGCTCCTAGGCAAAGAAGGGTACCCACTCCTTTTAATTGATTATGAGAAGGGTCTCTGAAGATGGATAGTGAAGGGGAATGGGTAGGGGGCCATGGACTGGAATTGGATGGAATATCCATGTGAGACAACTTCCAGCACACACGTCTGTTATTCCAGTCCAAGCCCGATAGAAGAAAGCCAACCAGCATCTCAAGAAGGAGGTCTGGGCATAGCCCTTGCCCGATCTGAGTGTGGCTCTCAAATCTCATGACAAACCTGCTGTCTGGAAGCAAGTGTAGTCTGGTTAGTGACTAAGGAAGATAACGGTCTCATACAAGATTACCTCGGCTTCTTCCTGGATGGTTACTCAGAGGACTATTGTGGGTAGCTGGGTGTCTTCTGTCTAGTCTCCCTTGCCCCTGATATTTAAAGGGCCTGTGAATGGGGCAGAGGTGTAAATGCCTAGTGAGCTAAGTATCTAGTATCTGGTGTCTTTTTAGGGTGCATAGTGCATCATTGGTACATATGGTGAGTAAGTCTGTACACTTGAAGGGCAAGTCCTCAATTGTATTCTCCACCTCCCTAGGAATGAAAGAAAGCTGTAACCATGATGCTCTGCACACAATCACCACAACAGCCAGGGATTTAACTGCCACATCCAATGCATCCATGGCTGTCTGTAAAAGAGGCCTTTGCCATTGGTTGTCCTTCAGTAATAATGGCTTTAATGTAGAGTACTGAGGGAGTTTGGCCAGAAAGGGAGATAACTCTGCCCTACGTCAGATAGTTGTATTTCACAAACAAAGTTTGACAGTTACCTACTTGTAGCTGGAGTGATGCTGACAAATAAGCCTTCCTTCTAAAGAGAGTTAATTTATTTGGGTCCTTAGGAATGTTCTTGGACAGTTTGGTTATCAGTCTTTTGGGGGACTGGTCTTCCTTTCCACTCTTTTAGCATTTAGAGGCAATGTGGCTGGCATCTGCCATAGAATTTTAGCTGGTTCTAAGATGCCTTCATTAATTGGCAATGCTAGTCTGGCAGAAGAGGAGGAATGCAATATGTCAAACAGCTTGTAAGCTTTTTCTTCAGTTGTTGAGGTTTCTATTTCAAAGGTCTCAGCTAAATGAGAGAGCATCTCCTGAAAGGCTCCAAAGCAGGTATGGGAGCCAAGGAAAATGCCTCATCGAGACTATGAAAGATGTTCCCGAAGCTCAAGACATGCCAGTTCCTCCTCTGTCAGCTGTACTTGTTCCTCCCTGTCTTCAGATGGGATTCTGGCAATTGCTGCTGAATGGGAGCATGACCTTCTGCTTTTTCTTGAGTGATAGGAGGGAATTAGGTTCCAAGATGCTCTAGACAGAAGTCCCCACTATGCCCAGCAGGGACAAGGGAGAACAGGATAAGGCTGGTTTTGGTCAGGCTAGTTAGGCCACTGTCATTCCTGAGATGGATAAGTCAGAGATCTGGAGTGCCCTGATTGTAGAGAGAGACTTTCTCCTGATCTGTATGAATGGCGAGAAGATTCTCTGCTGTAAGAGAGGTGTGTCCCGGAGATGAAGAACAGTAGACTGCCTCCAAAGATAAGACTGATTTTTGAGGTGACCTCAGTACCATGAGGTCAGAGACTCATATCAACACTGAATGCAGTGCCATTGGTGCCAAAAATATAGGTACCTCCTCTAACATTAGATTGGACAGTACCATTAATGTGTCAATTGTTAGTGTCAATGCTGGTACTGGGGCCAGCAGTTTGTGGTTGCCAGCACTGTCAGATATAAGGCATCCTCAGTGCCTACATATCTTCAGTATAAGCTGGAAGTTGAACCAGCATCACTTGGCTCCTGTCACACCAGCAGACCAAGTGCTCAGTTCCTCGGAAGAGAATAAGGGCTTAAGCATCTCCTCATAGCAAGGGAGATATGAAAACTCTCTCTTCCTTTAGTAAGGAGGCAGTAGCGGTTTTGGTGCTGAAGTAATAGCTGGGACCAATATGGTCAGATGGTCCCAGATCCTTGACAGACAGTGCCATGGATTTTTTTGCCAGTACCAGCATTAAGTGTTGTATGCTGGCTAACAAGGGCAGTGGCTAACTGTGACTTGGACATGACCAATCCCATCTTAGAGGTCAAGGCCTGTTCTTCAGGGTCTGAAGTCCCTTTCATTGATTGTCCAAGAAGATTCAACTTCAGAGGAACATCTCTGGATTTTCTTGTGCCGGTAGAAAACAGCACATAGGGCAGCAGTCTGGTACATGGTTCTCACCAAGACAAAAAAATGCCTGCTGTTATGACAGTCTGTAAGCAGAATGAGTCTGTCACAGGACTGGCATTGTTTGAAACCTGAGGGCTTTGAATCTGTTATTGTAAGCAAAGATAGCGGCATAAAACACCAAGCAGAAATTTTAAGTTTTCGTTTTAAAAAAACAGATTTTTTAAAATCCGTTTTTTGGCGGGGGTGGGAGGGTTGGGGAGGGGAAATAAAATTAAAAAGGGAGAGTTTGTTGAGAATTATGCCTCGCTAATTAGCCAAAAAGAGAAGAATATTCCACTAAGGGGTAGTGAACAAACACCTTGTTCTGTCTCATTGCCACAGACAGTAAGAGGGAACTGAGGGACAGCTGCAGCCACTCTGCCCTATATACCCTTTGGGTTGGGGCATTCATGAGAACTCACACGGCACATGAGCAGCCCAAGGGACACAGCTATTCAAAGATTTCAGTCTCATGTGCATGAGGCACATGCACACTTAGAATGGGATCCATGCTGACACACACTCAAAGAACCACCAATGTTTCTCACAGTCTCTCATAACAGTACCCACTACATTTAAAAAAAAAAAAAAAAAGGACTGGAAAAATAAAGAAAAAGCTATGTATAATTTTGCCCAACTATTTCAAGAGCAGTTCTTCCTAGCTTGAAAAGCATATCTTCTTTAAATCAAAGTATTACATTAGATAAGGTGTCCAATCTGTAGCCCGTAAGAGCAACTTTATTAGGAAAATTTGTATTGCATTATAAACTGAAAGTGTTCCTTGAGCCATGCCTGGCAATTTTAAATGGTAGTATGTGAATCAGCCCTTTTGCTACAGGGAGCTAGTAGGGGACACCACTTCCCTAACTGCCTCCTGTCCCTTTTCTCTGCAGTACCAGAAGCAGCATAGAGCAGGGAGCACTTGTATCAGCAGCCTTCCCACTGTCTACTTGCTGCTTGACAGGGGAGGGAAAGAGTAGTTCTGGTCACTCCACTGCCTACATCCCTGACAGGCTGTGACTGCACAAGAAAGAGCAGGATATAAACTCAACTGGCTCTGCCTGAACCTAGTTCTGAAAAGTTAGGGGCTAAACTCAAAAACAGAATATCAAACATTCAGTGCAAGTCTCTTGTTTGATATTATTAATGAAAACAAGAGTTCAACTTACCTTGCAGCTCACTTTTAATAAGACAACTTTCCATCATATATAATAGAACAGTGACCATAATATCCAACAGTTGACATTCTTCTGTCACTTGACGTGCTAGCTCTTCATTGCTGAATAACTGAACACTGATGTGCACAATTCTATTAGACATAGTGTCCGATTCATGGCTTTTCTTCAGTGTTTTCATAATAAAAGCATAATGCTGAACAAAAGTTTTAGTAAAGGCAATCTGCAAATTTAAAAATAAAAAGAATTTTAACATTACAATAGTTATAGTTCCTCTTATTTCAAAAAAATTTATTCTCAAACATACAATCAGTATTTCAGAGAAACATCAGATTTATCACAACAGATCAAAAATCAGTGGTCCATCTTATTCAATATCCTGCTTCAGAGGAAGGTGCAAGAAATCTCACAATGGAATATCCTGCCCTTCTCAACCTCCATCTTATATAATTGCATGTGTTCTCATTACCCATATAAATAACTCATCTTTTTTAATATCTTGATTCTTATGACTGAACCCTTAATTGTAGCATAACTGTTCACTTACAGAAGGAACTAATCTAATCCAAACTCTTGCTATCAATATCTTCTGACAATGGATTCCACAAGCCAATTAAACATTGTATAAAAACTCATTCCTACCAGTTTTAAAACTCATTCCTACCAGTTTTAAATTTGGCATCTTTTCCATTAGATAGCCACTTGTTCTTGTATTCTAAAAAGGATAAACAGGAGCTTCCAACTTAGCGTCTCTACCACTCATTGTTTTATATATTTCTATAATATCTTCTATTGGTAATCTCTCTAAACTAAAAAAACAGGACTAATGTTTTCAATATTTCCTCATCAGGAAGTCTTCCTGTGACTAATTTTCTTTCCCTGTCACTGGATCCCAATATTTTCTTCTAGAACCTTTTCCAGATAGGATGACCAGAAATGAACAAAGTATTAAAGTTGAAAGTGTACCACTGATTTAATTAATGGCAATATTAAAATTTCAAGACTATTATTCAGTATTACTATTATGATAATAGTCTGTTATCATGATATTCTAACATCATGCTTGATTTTTTAACTGCTGCTGTACATACAGCAACTGTTCTCACTGAGTTGTCCGCAGTGTCATCCAGGTCTTTCTCATAGATGGTTTCAGTTAAGATGGAGCTGCACCATATATAAGCAGTTCATATTATTTACCAACATTAAATTTCATCTGCCATCATGGCTTCCCATATATTTATCTTTGCTAGGTCCCTCTGGGGTTCCTTTATTGCATTCTCTAGTGCCAGAGGATGTTGTGAAGGCCAAAACTATAACAGGGTTCAAAAAAGAACTAGATAAATTCATGGAGAATAGATCCATCAATGACTATTAGCCAAGATGGGTAAGGATGGTGTCCCTAGCCTCTGTTTGCCAGAAGCTGAGAATGGGCGACGGGATGGATCACTTGATTACCTGTTCTATTCATTCCCTCTGAATCACCTGGTTTTGGCCACTGCCAGAAGACAGGATACTGGGCTAGATGGACCTTTGGTGTGACCCAGTATGGTGGTTTTTATGTTCTAGGTTTGATTGTCCTAAATAATTCTATCATCTACAAAGGTTTACCTCATCATTGTTAAACTTTTTTTTCCAGATCAGTAATTAATATATTGAAACAATATCAGTCATAGTACGGCTCCTTGGGGCACTCCACTATTAACGTTTCATCATGTTATAAACTGACCTTTTATTTATACTTTTGTCTTTTAGCCAATTTTTAATTCATTTCAAATTTCCAACTTAAGTGCTACTGCTGTTCTAAACTACCACCATATGGACTTGCTAAGTCTGAAGAGATGAGATAATGCAAGCTGTCTTGGTGATGACAGAAAATTTTCAGCTCAAGAACTAAAATCTCACGTCTAGTCTAAAACTTGTCCTTTGAACGTGTTAAGTCTTTCTGGAATATAAAGTAGGCATTTTAAGGCTACCTTTAAGCCAACTGTGGCTCCATGGTCTGAGACTACAAAATCACTACTTCACTTTACCCATGTCTGTCCACACCCTGAAATACATGGCCCATTTTTATTAAGAGCACTGCAGTTTGTTACTTTTATCTGAACTGATTCTCCACAATACTGTGAAGCATAAAGGGACCATAAACGGCTCTCAAGGAACCCTACACACACCCCAGAATAAAGTAAGCTCAGAGTAGCGGACATGTCTGGAGTACACTGTGCTTTGATTATTCTTGGCTGCAGGATGGCCTACAGATACCATTCAAGCCAGAACATAAATTACAGTGGATGAGACTATATTTCTGCAGGAATGAAAAAAGAGAATCTAGCCTTATTAGAGAGACAAGGTGGGGGAGGTAATAACTTTTAGAGACAACAGAAGTTGGTCCAATAAAAGACACTATCTCACTCACCCTGTCTCTCCAATATCCTGGGACTGACGCAGCTACAATAACATTGCATAAAATCTATCCCTATAGCATTCAGTGGGCCAAAGAGCACCAGCAGACGACCATATAAAATTAAGTCAGAAGAGAGTAAGCATAGGTAATCAAACAGATTCTTCTGCTAAAAGCCAAATAACTGACTCCTGACATTCCTATCCAAACTTAGGCTGGATTTATACAGAGAGGGTTACTCTTGAACTATCTATGCTCTACAGAGTTTACTTCCATTTAAGAACTTTATTTCTTGTGGTACTGTACAGCAATAAGAAACTGAACTAATTGGTGATCTTGTGGTCAAGATATTAGACTAGATGCAGAATATCTGGTTTAAATTACCAGTTGTATCAGACACTTCTCTCTGTGCCTCAATTCCCCATCTGTAAAAGGTAGGTAATCCTTCCTTTCTCCAATAGCTTGTAAATTCTTTAGGCAGGACTGTCTCTTACGATATTCATTTAACATTTAAAAAAAAAGGAAAAACTGGTACAATTCAATGACTGAATTGAGCTAACATGTAGTATACAACTTCACAGAATAACTTTGCAATCTTCACCATTCCTTTCCCTTCACTTGTGTCTCTTGTTACATCAGATCTAGTAGGACTCCTAAGCTCCTTGGGACAGGATCTGTATGTTATTTGTTTTGTAAAGCGCTAGAACTGGTTTTAAAATGGTGGTTTCCTCCCTGCAGAAGATTTCCTTTTTTGTCCCAAAAACACAATCTGAACAAACTTGGTTTTCTGATTTCCTAAAATTTGAGGAAAGTAGACACTTTCTGCAAAAATATAATTAGGTCAAAAACCCAATTTTCTGCCAAAAATAAGTTTGATAAAAAAAAAAAAGTGACCAATCCTACCTGACACACTTCAGGTGCTGTAGAGATAACAAGGCATAATGTTCTGTTTCCAAAAGTCATTAGTTACACACATTAAAATTAGTAGGTCTCAATGACAGCAGATATTCTTTCACAATAAAGATGTGGAACCAAGTCATTTCTTATAACCAGATGAGATATGAGTTATTATTTATTCCTTAGTTTATTATGGGTGGCATAGGTAAAAATGTCTATAGTTAAGCCTGACATTTTTCAAGAGATTTTAAAATTAGCAACAGAGGATTGAGGAAACCTAATTAAAAACTATATAAAGCAGTCAAGCTAATTTTTATCATAGAAAAAATATTGTATTAACACATCCTCCTGCCACAAGAATTACATGCACTGGACCTTTAACTGAACTAGTTCTAAAGAGTATATAGAACTCTTTAACAGTAACAAAATATCTCAGGAGCAGATGTCTCTTCCCCATCCTAAATATCTGATATCTAAGGAAACTTGGGGGGTGCGGGAGAGAGGGGTGTAGAGAAACAGTTTGTTGATATTGCTCTTGCTCCAAGACTGGAAACTAAAACTGTGAAGGCTTGTAGGTATCTTCCCTTCAGAGAGCTAGATCTTATAAAGTCTAACAAAGCTTATGAGCTATAAAGGAAATAGCCAAAACAACAAAACAAACACAATACTCTGGCTCCTGAAGGAATTTTCAGAACGGAATTATTCAGCCAACCTGTTTTGTCCACATCTCCTTCCATGTATTGTACGGCTCTGGGCATACCAACAAACCCTCAAATAATAAAAGAATACAGGGTTTGTTATATTAATGATTTATATCAACCATATGCGTACTCACGCAAGATGCAATACAAGTGAGTAAAGGAAATTGTTTTGGGAGGGAAGGCGGGCATGCAAATACCTTATAATCTTGATCTGGTAGCATGTTGAGTAAGAAAGTTACCATCTTTTGTGGAAATTCATATTTTATTGTCCAAAATAATAATTCTTCAAGAAAACATTTATGCTTTAAAACATCCATGATGGACTGATCTGCATAAAAAGTAGGAGAACAGAGGGGGGGGAAGACTTCAGAATGACTTTAGGTTTTGTAAAGGACATTTCAACCTTAGTTTATTAATATTCTATTTAACTTACTAGATGCAAATATCTAAGAATCAGTAACATCTTAATGCTACCATCCTGCTAATGTTGATAAAAGGGTTTTTTAACACTTGAGGAAAAAAGTTAGCTATCACCAATACTGTATAGCGTATATGCTTGAAATGGTTTCATGTATAGAACTCCTGCAGTCATCAATGGAAGTCCTCGGTACAAATCAGCTGCAGAATCAGGCCCTTATACAGAACCCAATCTATCAGCCTTACACTGGGTATTGACTTACTCTGCAAATAGTTACATTGGGCCAGACCTTCAGCTGATGGAAATTGTCATAGTTCCAGTGACTTCAACTGAGCTACAACAATTTATATAAATTGAAGATTTAGTCATTGACTTCAGTGGGATTACTGATGGAGTACAGTAATATTCAACAGGAGCAAGTGTGGCAGAATCTGACCCACACTAATTGAATGTTAAAACTGTGACATAGATTAGGTGTAATTCCTAAAAACATATGTGATCTGTTTGCAAACTTTTAAAACCTTTAAATAAAATTTAACACTTACATAATATTTTAATTCTTCAAATCAATTTACATACAAAGAATACATTCTCAAAACAATCTTGTGAAGTAGGCAAGTATTATCCCAATTCTATAAAATGAAAAAAAAAGATAAATAAAGCAGCTTTTCCAAAAATTATAAACCAAGTTAGTAGAAGAACAGGGATCAAAACCCAGTTTATCTCAACTCCCAGACTCATTATGAGTCTACTAGATCACACAGTGTCTTCACTGTCCTTCAAAGCTGTAATACTTACTATTCACAGATAACATAACCTGGCCACTCCTACAGCATGGAGAGATTTATGCAAATATAACCCTCCTGTACCTATTGGAGTCAACCGGGCTAGGGGAAAAGGAATCTTGCCCCAGAGGAGGGCAAGCAGCAATAATGCCACCTCTCCCCCAGAGAAGGCAAAGATAAATTCCAACTGGCTCCCCCAAATCAGGGCAGGCAGTGCAAGAAATGCTGAATCAGTGCATCTCCTGGCCTGGCACTGTTCCCCACCCCTCCAAGCCAGACCCAATCATCTTGTGGAGTGTATTGGATGACTTTTGGCCCAACGGTGAAGGGGGATTTGCTAGCATTTTGTGCCACTTTGCCCGCTCCAGGTGAGCTTACCACCAGCAGAGCCAACATTCCACAGTCATATGCCAGTGGTGGACTCTGACCACTATGTTAAAATTTTCAGAAATTGTTAAAATATCACAAGAAATATGAATTTAAACTTGAGAGGCATTTTCATGAGGAGTCTCTTTTTCTAATCCAAACAAAGAAAAAAAAATCTATGTTCTGGAAGCGTGATATCAGAAAATTCATTTTTACCTCTCTGAATATTCGATCAAAAATCACCAGTCACTTACTACAGCAAGCATGCAACAATAATTTAGGGTCTCATCCTCCTCCCTTTTAAAAAAGGTGTGTGTATGAATTTACTACTGATTAAAGATGCAAGCTTGACAACCATGCAGATTGAAATCATCCATCTGCACAACAGACCCAATGATTACGAGAAGTAATGCTTCCGCTCTACTCCGGGCTGATTAGGCCCCAAATGGAGTATTGTGTACAGTTCTGGGCACCACATTTCAGGAAAGATCTGGACAAAAGCGGGAAAGTCCAGAGAAGAGCAACTAAAATGATTAAAGGTTTAAAAAACATGACCTATGAAGGAAGATTGAAAAAAGTGGGTTTGTTTAGTTTGGAAAAGAGAAGACTGAGAGGGAACATGATAACAATTTTCAAGTGCATGAAAGGTTATTACAAGAAAGAGGGAGGAAAAATTGTTCTTCTTAGCCACTGTGGATAAGACAAGACGCAATGGGCTTAAACTGCAGCAAGGGAGGTTTAGGTTGAACATTAGGAAAAACTTCCTAACTGTCAGGGCGGTTAAGCACTGGAATAAATTGCCTAGGGAGGTTGTGGAATCTCCATCATTGGAGATTTTTAAGAGCAGGTTAGACAAACACCTCTCAGGGATGGTCTAGATAATACTGAGTCTTGCCATGAATGCAGGGGACTGGACTAGAACTAGATGACCTCTTGAAGTCCCTTCCAGTCCTATGATTCTAGGTACACTTCAGATATTTTAATATGTGGACACCAATAATGTATGCTGTTCACACACACTCATTATCCACTACTGAAGTGCAGCTTCCTCAGACCAGAAACATGGCAGTTTAATGGTGCATAACAACTCTATACAACAGCCTGAGGACAGGGAGGGACCACCACCAGATCCAATTTTACCTGCTGAAGAATTTAGAAAGAGGGCTCTTATCCAAGTTTGTCTAGGACATCAAAGCTATTACTCCTATGCTTGTGAAAAGTATTATGCAATTTTTTTATAAATAAAAAAAAATAGTGTCTATAGGGTTGAAAATGTCTTATAAATTAGATCGTTTAGATGGATGAGTGTTTTAGAAACAGCAAAACAAAACAAAGAGAAAAGAACAATTTTATAATATGCTGCTCAATACCCAAACCCACATTTTGTACCGAAGCGTCACCTAAGTCTTTTAAATCTTCTTTTTATTTTTCCTATCACCACAAAAAAAATAAATTTATAGCTGTTGAAAACTCTTCTCCTGGGATATCAGTGTTAGTATGCCAAGGTATCACGAATGCACAGACTGCTGTGAAGACTGTACCATTAAAGATCTATGCTGGGGCAGGGAATCTGCTTTTATGAAGAGGTAAAATCTGTTTTTATTCAATACTCAGTTTTCTAAAATTTTCTTTTAATACTCTTATTTTATATCCTATAGGACATAAAATACGAATACTGAAAACTTCAGAAAACTATGTAATATTTAATAAAAACAGAAACTTACCTTTCCCCCACTGGCAGACTCCCTCCTCTGGGGCTGACATTAGGAGCTATCAACATCACCAGCACAGTCCATGTTGAGATGCCTCAGAGGGGGGGAGACTACAAGCCTGGGGGAAACGAAAGCTTTAATTAAAAGAATAATTTTGCTGAAATGCCTTAAATGATGTCCATTTAGGCATTTGACAACTTCTAGGCCTGAATTTCCTGCCCCACAATACAAGTTCACTTTTATTAAGGAAACTGCATTATTTCTGGAGTCATGAGGATTTTACTTTATCTTTTAGGAACTTCGGTTAAACTGTAAAGACTCATAGAAGTGTCTTAGCTAGCGAGCTCCCTTCTCTGCTTTTGTGTCTTGTCTCTGAATTGTAAGTTCCTGAAGAGCAAACTATGGTTTTCTTATAATATTTCAATACATTTCCTAAATTTTAATTGCCAATTACAAAAATTGCCATTGTTAAAACTATAGTTATGTCTTCTTTTTTAGCCTCTCTCTCTCTCTATTCTGCCCAGTATATGTGAAACACCGTAAATTATAATTTTCATCTCCCACCATCACAACTCCTTCAAATCTCTGTGTTCACTTCCTGTACCTTTCCATTTCAAATTCAAACTCCACATCCTCACTTTCAAGTCTTTCCAAAGCTTTGTTCATGCCTTCATTACTGTTTTCCCTTCAGATATTCCCTTCTTATGCCTTGTGGCTACCCAGTGCTATCTTCCTGTCTTGTCACACCTACAAGTAATGGTATAATGTAATTTTAAAGAAAGGGAGGCATTTGTCTCTTGAAAATATCAGTATGGAAGGCATTAACCATTGCCATTAGCACCTTTTCAGAACAACGAACCTAACAACAAAAAGTATAAGACATGGATATTCTCCCACCTACAATCCCCAAAGCGCTAAATCCTGATGTACTTTGTCAGTCATTCTTCAGATAAAACTCTCATTGACCTCAGTGGGAATTTTGCTTAAATTGGACTAGACATTGCAGGATGTGGCCTACAGAGAGGATTGATTTAAAGGCAAGATATAAATGTGAGTAATTTCAAAGGACTCTCCATTTGAAAATCTATTTCTAATGACACCTCTTTTCATATTAAAGTGTCATTACAGGATTGGTTTACTTTAAGACCAAAAAGGATCAGAGGGGAAGTGCTCTTGTCTGGCCCAAACTGCAATTATATTGCACACCAACATAAAGAAAGACATTGTCAGGAACAAATTAAGCTTTCCACTAGATTTTTTAATTTATTAGCATTTGAAAAACCTTCCACCTAAATACTGACAACACAATGAGTTTTTAGAAGTTCCCTTGCAAAACAAAGGTGACAAATGATCAGTTGACACCAAATACTGAATGGTGGTACTTGCTCCCTCATGAGATGAGAGCTGCAGATTAAAAATACTCACTGACAAATTAAATGCCTGTGTCACATGCAGCTTCCCAGTACTTGAAAACAGACTGAGCGTTCTTAGATACAATAAGATGGACAAAAAGCAAGCATGATAAATGGAGATCATTACGTCATAAATACCTTTGGTACTGCTGCTTAGTTTCACCCTCTTGCGCTTGCCCACACCTTGGCTTCCATCCTGGTCCTCCTGGAGTAGGGGAAGAGATTACAAAAATCAATAGCTGTACAGATTTTACTGCAGAGAGTAAATACTCTGTAATTCACTTCTGGATTAAAACACATAGGTAAAAAACAACAGGAGACCCTGTACATACGGGGTAATAGGACAATGTTTTATCTACTATGGGAACCACAAACTCGATACATTTTAAAAAATGGTTTCCCCAAGGACAACATTATTACATGCGAGTTCAGACATTTTAACGTATTTTATTCATTTAGAACATAAGAATGGCCAAACTGGGTCAGACCAAAGGTCCATCAAGCCCAGTATCCTGTCCTCTGACAGTGGCCAATGGCAGGTGCCCCAAAGGGAATGAGCAGACAGGTTACCATCAAGTGATCCATGCCCTGACACCCAATCCCAGCTTCCGGCAAACAGAGGCTAGGCACACCATTCCTGCCCATCCTGGCTAATAGCCATTGATGGACCTATCTTCCATGAATCGATCTAGTTCCCTTTTGAACCACATTATAGTATTGGCCTTCACAACACCCTCTGGCAAGGAGTTCCAGAGGTTGACAGTGTGTTGCATGAAAAAATACTTTCTTGTGTTTATTTTAAACCTGCTACCTATTAATTTCATTTGGAGGCCCCTTGTTCTTGTATTATGAGGAGTAAATAACACTTCCTTATTTACATTCTCTATACCACTCATGATTTTATAGACCTCTGTCATCTCTCACCTTAGTCGCCTCTTTTCCAAGCTGAAAAGTCCCAGTCTTATTAATCTCTCCTCATACAGAAGCCGTTCCATACCCCTAATAATTTTTGTTGCCTTTTTCTGAACCTTTTCCAACTCCAGTACATCTTTTTTTAGATGGGGCAACCAGATCTGCACGCAGTATTCAAGGTGTGGGCGTACCATGGATTTATATAGAGGCAATATGATATTTTCTGTCTTATTATCTATCCCTTTCTTGATGATTCCCAACATTCTGTTC